ATGTGAAGCTACGTCACGCAGGGTTGCATGCTGGGACACCGCTGCCATTCAGGGAGGATCGTCCTCTGCTACAAATGCTGGATTGCTCACTGCTGGTTCAGCGTCATACGGCAGAATATCCAAATAAAAGTCTGTGTTCAACAAGCTGACAGACGTCCATCCATTTCTTTGTTGGAAACGTTTCATTGACGAAGTATAATTGTTGTTATTGTAAATATAAATTTTTCCATGGCCGCGGAGGAGAGTCAGAGATTGTGGGTCACATTCAGCGGACAGACACGAACACACTGTGTTTTTATATTTATTTCCACAAATTACAACCAAAATCAAGTGCTTGGGAGCTTGTGAACAGTTTTGAGGCATTTTAAAATGCTGACAGTGATGCTAAGAGACATGCAGAGAAAGGGGGCGATTACTTGTAGCACAAAGTAAAAAAAAACATATGTGGCCCATTCACATGTTTGTCAGACCGTAAACAAACCTGCCCGCTACTATTAGAATACTGGGTTCACACTGATAAGTGTTTTGGTCGCGAGACTTGGCCAGTGGAAGTTTTTTTTTTTTTTAACCGCAAGGTCTAGAGATGTGCTTTCAGAAGCTGAATTTCTTTGTACTTGAGCGCCGTGTTTTAGAATGATGTATTATGTGCGAAAAGCTGCAATAAAGACCTGAGACGAGCGCAGCATTCAAACACAAATTCAAAGACGTCATGCTTGACATACTTCAGTTTATCCAATGAGCAGTTTGAGTCCTCCAGTTTTTCAGAAAGCAGCTTGACTCCTGAATCTCCCGGGTGATTGTAGCTCAGATCCAGCTCTCTCAGGTGTGAGGGGTTTGAACTCAGAGCTGAAGACAAATAACCACAGCCTTCCTCTGTCACCATACAGCCAGACAACCTACAAATACAGCAACAGTCCATATGACATCTCTTACACACATTTGTACTTATTTCAGCCATTAATTATTCCTGAATGGTCATGTCTTAATGTTTACTTTGTTAAAAAAAAACTTATCCCTCATTAGAAATGCAATAATGTCACTATCAGTACATGATGTCAATGATATAAAAACAAAACAAAACAAAACAAAAAAGCTAAAAGGCCATGTAAACATTATAAATAAAACGATGGAAATGGCTGTCCAGTGGACTGGTGTTAATGCTGAACAAACAACACTTGTTAAGAAAAAAAATCCAGACTTTTGACCACTTTCTATTTACATCTATTTGGCATCACTTTCTACTGTCCTTTCATCTTGGGAGAATACATATCGTCATTGTCATGTTGAAAAAATGCCCACCAACGCAGGCAAATGAGGAGAGGGTAGCAGTTCTGTTTCAAGTTGTGTGAATTCATGACAGCATTGATTAATAAACCTTCATCACTCATGCATCTCTATATAAGAGCTTTACTACCACCAAACTCCACTGTGGGAACCAGGCACTCTCACTGTACTCCTCCTCTACCAGCACCTGTTAGATATGAAATGATTAGGCTAAATGAGTTTCTTGTGCTTTGGCTACAGCAGGTAGTTTCAGTGAGGACAACAACCATTCATGTCACTTCTGCAGGCTGCATCTTACTCGGTGAGATACACAATCACTCTTTTCATAGCTTTTGCAGGCTCTGAGACACTTGCTTGGTATTTCTCCTGCTCTTTTTCTAGCAAAAAATCACTCATCACTAAATTAAAATGAAGGTCTGATTATTTCAGGGGCCTTGTCACAAGTCCATTGTTTTTGAATTTCTGTGTTACTGTTATGTCCCAGTGAGTGCTGGGCCTGTGTTTTTTCTTGTTTTGTTTTTGGTTTCCAGGTATACTGGTTATGGTGGGTGTGTCTTTCCACCTGAGGCTTATTATGCGGCGCTATAAAAACTGCAGCGCTGATGTGGACGGGGGCACGATGTGTAACAACAACAACCATGCATGTCACTTCTGCAGGCTGCGTCATACTCTGTGAGATAAAGTGTCACTTTTCATAGCTTTTGCCGGCTCTGAGACACTTGCATGTTATTTCTCCTGCTCTTTTTCTAGCAAAAAATCACTCATCACTAAATTAAAATGAAGGTCTGATTATTTCAGGGGCCTTGTCACAAGTCCATTGTTTTTGAATTTCTGTATTACTGTTATGTCCCAGTGAGTGCTGGGCCTGTGTTTTTTCTTGTTTTGTTTTTGGTTTCCAGGTATACTGGTTATGGTGGGTGTGTCTTTCCACCTGAGGCTTATTATGCGGCGCTATAAAAACTGCAGCGCTGATGTGGACGGGGGCACGATGTGACCACACTAACCAGACCTGCTGCTTTCTCTTTTGTTTTGTTGTTTATTTCGTTTGCATACAGTTCAGACCTTGAGCTTACAGTCCACTGTCATGCACGCTTACATCACTGACTTACATTAATACATACTCAAGTTCCCTTTCAAGGGAACTTCGAACTGCGTCCTCTAGGGGTCGCTATGGGGAACGCCTCGCCGTGACCCGTGTCTGAAGCATACATTGAAAAAACACCAACAACACGTTGGTCGGCGACAGCCATGACGTCACTACCGGTGCAACTTTAGTATAAATAGGCGCTGGGAGCACACATCATTCACTTCTTCGTCTGAAGCTTGCATCCGCAGCATGGCAAGAAACCTAGAGGACGCAGTGTC